ATTTCTTCAAGATCTTCAAGGAAATTAATGCGTCAAATTAAACAAAATCACATGGTTACTCGTCAAGAGTTGCATGATGATTTGATTTCATCAGGAAACTGTGACACTAAACGGACAATAAGCAATGAAATTCATAGGAACAATCTAAAGTCAGGCTCCCCCTCGGGAAAATTCCACTGCAATTGAAAAGACATGGAGGTGCCAGTTTGAAATTCGTAAAACAGTTTTTCACTTAATAGATTGTTTTAAAATGACCCTCTTTTATGTTTGTTAACTTTTATGGTTGATAAACTTAAATAAAGTTGGATTTGAAGCGTAAATCAGGCACCAGAGTGGATTCCTTGGCCTAATTTTGAGTGGATTCCTTGGCCTAATTTTCATCATCATATTCTTGCGGCCTCAGCCGAGATTGAACTCATCAATACTTTGATTGGTGTAGTTCATAATCTTGTTAAATAGCTGAATTATTGATGCTTCGCTAGGGCTATCAAGGGTGTTTTTATCGTGACACCATCACTAAATGGATTGCCAACCAAGGCTCAGAGAGACTCCATTCACCCTCATCTAAGAGCAGGTTTTGAATTCAGAGTTTTCCTTCTCCTAGACCAGTTGCCATCAAAGGCTATAGAACCCAGTCTGTCCTGCTATTTACCCATAGCTGGAGGGAGAGGAGAGAGGATTCACACCTTTCCCAAGGGTATTAGCATGTAAGTGAATGTAATGGATTCGACTGGAATTCGAACTCGGCTCTTCGATTCCTCAATCCAAGCCGCTATCCATTACTCCACCGTACCTAATTTTAGTTGTCGTTACAGTTTACCTCACCATGTTACATTTTGCCCCACTGTCTGTTACGTTTTGCCCCAGGGGTGGGGTAAAAAATAACAGAATCCGGAATAGCTCCTCATCAGAATGTTCATTTGCTTTAATATTCATGTACAGTTTAAATAACTATGCCTGTCTTTAATTATAGGGTCGGTATGGTAATTTGAAAAAAAAGGGGTTACTTTGTGCCTCGCTTTAGTCTATATTATTAAAGAATTAATTAATTTTAGTTTTTAATCCGACATATTTTTATTAATTCAAATGTTATTTTAATGGTCACCCGTGTTTGAACAGACGATCAGTTTATTTTAAATAATATTTATTTCGTCTACCGGCCTACGAATTCGAGAAAAATGAACTTCAATTACAATACTGGTCCCAAATCCTGCCGGAGGACACAATATCTTTATTAACCTATCTCGAGTACTCAGGCCGGTAGATGAAATAAATAATCTTTAAAATAAACGGAGAGTCTACTCAAGTACGGGTATTGACTAAAAATAATATACATATAAGGTTAAAAAGAGAAAAACAGGGACAGTTTTTTTGTGATTTTTTCCTGGCACTGAATAAGTCGTTTGATATCAGATGGAAACATATAAAGGAACTTGCCGGAATTGTGTGTAACGCGCTAAATAGAAAGAAAGGAAACAAGGAAACCCCTAGAGAAGATAGTAAAGGAAAACAAGGAGAACGACTAAACATCAATTGTAAGAGGATAGAATGTATGGCTGTCAGCAAAATAAACAGCACAATATGCGAATTACAAACTGAATATAACAAAATTAGATAACTGCAATATATATATATATATATATATATATATATATATATATTAATACATTTTTTATGTTTATACATTCTTTTTATAGATACAAATATTTAAGTAAATGCTCTGTTTATAATAAACAGTATTAACGACATTTTTCTCTCGTACATTAATATCTGCTCGATGCGTATCCAAATGTAAACAAATGACGTCACATATTATGAAATGGACAAAGTCCGACAATTATTTTACGACATTTTTTTAATGTTTATACGTTCTTTTTATAGATACAAATATTTAAATAAATGCACTGTTTGTAATAAACAGTATTAATTGTGTGTGTTACTTCAATCGTTATCATAATAGATTCTCCGTTTTTGAAATAGACACCCAGTGTGTATTATGGCTATCGTTCTTCCTGTGCAAATTCAGTAAAGAAAATGCCTTCTTTCCGTAGCCGAGTGGTAAATCACACTGGATTAAACGATGGTTCCCCCGACAAAGTGGGGCGCGGGTTCGATGCTTGCCGGGAAACGCATTTCTCTTTGCTTACATTTCTCGAATAAGAGGGCCGATAGACGTAATACACACTGTTGAATAAATTAAAAAAAGTGAGGCGTCTATTTCAAATAGGAAGTATTCACTATGATAACGTTTAAAACTAGGTTCTCTGATTCCTAATTCCGAGGGGTTATGCTTTACACACCCTGCACATCCAAATTTACAGCACATGACATTCCCAAGCGGTCATCCACCGGATTACTGACCAGGCTCAACGTTGCTTAACTTCGGTGATCATACGAGAACCGGTGTTTCAACCTGATGTCGCAGTAAGGTCGATACATATAAATGATAACAGTAGATAAATATGAACTTATCAATTTATAAGATCAGATATTAATGGAATTAGGTAGATACATATGAACAGAATGAGATATATAGATAGATCTGAATAGACTGGGATGGATGAAAATAGACTATAGACAGATATAGATATGAACAGACTGAGATAAATAGATAGATAGATAGATAGATAGATGAAAATAGATTATAGATAGATATAGATAGATATGAACAGACTGAGATAGATGAAAATAAACTATAGATATAAACAGAATGACAGATGAAAATAGAGGATAGATAGATAGATAGATAGATAGATAGATAGATCATGAAAAGACTTGGATAGATAGATAGATAGATAGATAGATAGATAGATAGATAGATAGATAGGTGGAAAGAGGAGATAGATAGATAGATCATGAAAAGACTGGGATAGATAGATAGATAGATAGATAGATAGATAGATAGATAGATAGATGGAAAGAGGAGATAGATAGATAGATAGATAGATATGAACAGATTGACAAAGATAGGAACATGGCGAAATGTATAGATATGAGGAGACAGGTAGGCAGAGTTAAATATGGTAGGGAATAAAATGGAAAGCAAGTAATATCGGCAGGCAGATCGATACGGGCTGCCTGGGGTCGATATGAAAACATTAAAAGGCAGATAAACAAAATGGCAGACAGACAAATTAAATGTACATTTGATTATATTAAAAGATTTATACAT